AGTATTCCTTTTAGTTTTTCTCGTAGGTCCCTTTCTGTTTTCCACGCTTTGTTTGGGTCAGTCCAGATGTGCTTGATTTGCCATATTCCCTTTTTGAGCCAATGCCCCCATTTGGGTACAGTCTTTGAGAGTGGGAGGCTTTCCCCTTTGTCGTTCTTGATCAGTGGGTTGCCGAAGAGGAGTTGTCTGAGAACTTCATCTTTTTTTCTTTGGACCAGTTCTGTTTTCGGGGAAGATGATTCTCCAGGTGTGCAGTATTTGCTCCCAGAGGGGCTTAGTCTGGGGGTTATGTTTTCGGGGAAGATGATTCTCCAGGTGTGCAGTATTTGCTCCCAGAGGGGCTTAGTCTGGGGGTGTCATTGTTGTTATGTTGGAGCGTTTGGTCATATTGACTCTGTTTCCCTTTTGGAAGTGGCCAGAATTCGTTGAAAATCCATAAGAGGCCTGGCATGTTGGTTGGAGAGGTAAATGGTGTCAATTCTCTGATATGATTCAGAACTAATGGTGACCAGAGCAGATTGTCCTGGAGGGTTAATCTTATGATCCATTTAATTTGTAGTGCCTGGATTTGGCGGGATGGATCTACGAGTCCTAAGCCTCCTCTGCTTTTTGGGCTGTTGACTATCTGCCATGACGCCTTGTGAATAAAGTGTAGCTTGTATCGATTGCCTGTCCATAGGAATGCTGCTGTTCTTTTCCTCAGCTGGCTTTGAAAGTCCGTAGCTGGGAACCACATAGAGGTGGAATACCACATCATTGCTAAGATCGAATTGTTTAGCGCTAGTACCCTGCCTAGTAAGGAGGTATGTGTGGTTTTCCAGGTGTGCATTCTATTTACCGTTGACGATAAGAGTGTCGCTGCCGGTATATGGTGCCATCCTTTGAGATTGAGATTAATGCCCAGGAAGTGGATTGGTGAGTTTGGATCTGCCCATTGAAGTCCTGTCGGGGATAGCTCTATGGGAGAAGGTGTTTCTGGGGTCCACCAGCCTATTGTTTTTGTCCAGTTAACTTTCATTTCCGAGGCCAGCTGGAATGCTTGCATGGCTCTTGTCAGGGCTTGGAAGGACGAGTTTGAAGCCCTGATAAGTACAGTAAGATCGTCGGCGAATAGGAGAGTAGTAGGGATGTCGAGGGGTTGACCACGTTCGTCCCTGATGTTCTCTATCCTTTGACCACATTCGTCCCTGATGTTCTCTATCCTTTCGATGGAACTGCCTTTCTCAGGAAGGCAGCGATGGCCTCCATGACAAAAAGGAAGATCGGTGCTGCCAGTGGGTCGCCTTGTCTTACCGACCTTGTCATTGGATAGGGGTTCGAAAGAAAGCCCTTGACTTGAACGATCCCTTGTGCATCATTGTAGAGTATTCTCACCCATTTTTTCCATACGGGCCTGAAGAAAATCCCAGTTTACTTGGTCGAAGTCAAAGAAGAGAGAGCTGCTGCGATTCCTTTTTTATTAATTATGCGTGTGGATAAAATCCTGAAAATCCTGAAACTTGAAAAGAGCAAATTTTGCCCTGTTTTATTTTTGGTCAAAGGTCTGCGTGTGCTGAGTTTGGTGTTTGTTG